ATGTAATGACTCTAGCAAGAAAATCTGTACTGATAGGTTTAATAGTAAGATTTTCTATTGCTTTTTGCTTATTGATAGTATCAATGAGGTGGTTTTGTGTAGCTGCTTGTTGGTATGCAGTTAAAAGTTCATAAAAATAATAGTTGCGACGTTTGGTAACAGTTGGCATAGAGTGGGTTTTGCAGATATAGTCTTTTGTTTGAGTAGCAAGTTCATCTAATAGTTTAGTTAGGATCTCTTTACTAAAGGTTGCTGTATGTTTTCCATCAATAATGAATAGTGATGGATTAAAATCAGGATGTGGCCAAGATTCATGTTGTTGTTTTGGGTAGCTGATATATAATTGCTCAAGGGTAGCTTTGAACAATTTAGTATAATTATGTCTGAATGTAAATTATTGTGTTGTTTGGTTTTCTGTTTCTTTTTCTTTATTCTTGATTTCAATTTTTTCCATATGAGGACAGGTAATATCTGAATAGGTCATTATGTGGTAGTTGGTAAGTTTTGTAGCTTCCTTACAATGTTCTAATGAATTGTTAGGTTTATTGAATTCTAAAGTAGGAGGAACAAGTTCTCTAAGGTAAGAGATAAACTGTTGGTAAAATTTATATTTGAATGAGTTGTAAACCTTAGTTTTGTCAAGAGAGTCAGCAAATTGGTGATTATAAGATGGGAAGAAGTGTTCAAACCATTTTTCAAAATGATCAAGAGAATTTTTAAGAGAAGAGATATTAAAATTTTGTAAAAAAAGAGTTTTTGGAATGTGAAAGTCAGATAGATATTAAACTTGCTGTCAGATTTGATAGAAAGATATTTTTCTTCTTTGTCATAGTCTGAAACAGTAGATGAGATTTTGAATCTCTTGGGTTTAATATCCTCTCCAAATTTGTTATAGTCGATTGTTTGATAGTTGTTTGAGAGGTATAGATGGAGTCAAGCAAGGTTGATGCAAAATTGAAGTTGATTTTGGTTTTGGTATGATGGAATAGTAGTAGATGAAGCAAAAATTTTAGGATAGTTAAGTTTGGTGAAAAATACCGTTGTGAATATATGAGTGAGTTGTTTGAAGGTTGATTTAAGAATGTCAAATGGGATAGTAATAGCCTTGTCAGTGTTAGGATTATTTTGTTGAATAAAATCAATAAGGAATTGTGGCCTTTTGCCAGCTATTTTATGAATAATTTGATAAAAGCTAGCCTTGAGAGGTTTTCGATTTGGTGTAGCTGCTTTGATTTCTTTTCCTGAGTAAAAGTCGTATAAGTGTGATTTAAGGTGATTGAAAATTTTTCTGGCAAGATCAGTTTGTAATTGGGTTCTGTTTTTCATTTCTTCAGTAACAGGGAAGTTGGCTAGCTAATCATATGTTGCTGGGTTAGTTTTAGTTTTGGATTGTTGTTTTTATAGCTGTGAAAAATATCATAATCTGCTTTGTGCATTGGGTTTGATCGTCTTTATTATAGTTTTTTGTATAACTTTGGCAATTCTAATATATCTTAAAAATATTTAAATATAACAAAATAAATTTCTTTAATAAACATCAAAAGTCTAAAAGTATATTATATTTATAGCCTATATAAAAAATATAAAATAGTTCATTAAGAAAATTTTAAATTAGCTAACAATTGATTAACAAATATAAATATCAATTGATAAGCAGCACCCTGCTGATTGTTAGTAATACAAATAAAATTGATTGATGCTAATTAAAATTAATTAATATTGATTAATATTTCTTTATTAAAAATTAATTAGTATCAAAACAAATTAAAATTGATTATTTTAATCAATTGCATATTGATTAATAACCAATATTGATTACTATTAATTTTTCTAATCAATGACAATTGTCTCTATAGCTAGTAATCAATATTTACTCTATATAAAAATTTTTCAACATTCTTAAAGAGATATTTTTATAAAATATATATAGAAATTATATTCATGATTTAACTTATATAAAGCATTGTTACTTCAAATATTATCAATATAGAATACATTTTGCAATATTAAATTTGTAATAAAAGATTATCAAAGTTAATGCAATTAATAAAGTATATTTTATATAATATTTTTTCTATGATGGAGCTATAATTAGATGCAAAGGAGTATATAATAAAAACTCTTACTGCTTATCACTTGTACACAAATTTTGTTCAAAATAATTTTTACTTTTTCTCAATTTACACAAAATTTTATTAAGTTAATAACTTTTGTCACTTAATAACAATTGTTCAGCTACTGTTTTTATATATATCTGTAAAGTTTCAAGCCTTTATCTCTCATCGTTCTTGAGATATCTAATTTTAAAGAACAGACAGACAAAACACTGTCCTCTTCCCAATTTTACCCTTCATGGCAAACTGGGCTTAATAATATACCAATACCTCATAATTGAATTTGCAGAGCTCATCTCTGGCTTCAAAACAAGCT